GCTTTGTTGTGTCCTTTTCTCTTTTTGATCCGCCCGCACTCTCCTTTATGAAGGGGTCTTCATTCGTTGCGACCTTTTTGGTTAAATTTTGGGGTGGTAGGTTTCTTCTTTGAGCCACCCTTGCACGGCTGGTTTGCTGCGCTGGTCCCGGTCTCCTTTCTTCCCGTACCAGGGTTGTGAGTTAACAAGTGGTGCATCTGGCATGCATGGGTTTTGTTTCTGGTGATGTGATTTCTCTTTCCAATTTATTTTGGTTCATCACCTTTCATTGCTAAGCGCATCCCGACTACTATTACTACTATTTGTTGTTTTAAGGTAGTGTTGACATGGTAGACTGATTCGAAAAATTTCGGGGACAGCAAATAGTATTTGTTACAAAAAGGATAATTTAGCTTTTTCTATATTTCTTGCAGATGGTGGAGTTATAGTTAGGTTTCACTGCGTGCCGTATCATATGTGTGTAGGATGGACGTGCACAGCGCTAATACGCAAAACTTGATTGCTGGCTGGACGTTTTTTCTGGTAGACAACAAAAGACTAATGTGCTAAATGCGCTAAATAGTTTTCATATGCTGCTGTATTCTGACTGACTAAGACGAAAAACAATAGACGAGAGACCGAGAGACTAAACGAAACGCTTCACCATGCATGTCGATGTGAACTGTTGGCTATAGTTTTTCCTTTTTTCCCCATGGGTGCGCGGAAGTGTCGTGGGTTTCAATGGGTTTCAATGTCACAAAAGTCATCCGTTCAAAAGGCAATAAAGGACAGATGTTTCATTGTTGACTGCAATGTTCTATGTTTACGGTTGCTCCGCTTTTCACCCCTTGGCCCTTTGCCATGGCGCGCAGAGAGCGGCGCGCCAAGCGGATGGCAGATTGGTATGGACTTGCCGTGGAAGGCCTATACCCGGGTTTGACGGCGAATCGAGTCCTTCCGGGCATGTCCAAAAAGTAGTTGTGAGCCATATGGGAGATGATCGAAAACCCAGCGTAAGGAGTTTAATATAAAACAGCCTTTTAGATGTTGTTAAAACCCTCCGCGAAAGCTTCGCGATGAGGTTCGCGAAAGTACATGTTTTTCGCGAAAGATTTATCGAAGGTTCTGGTTTTAATATTGGTTCTCCTTTTATGGCCCACTGGATAAAAAGCTTCTACGTAGAACTTTACTTGGTTTCAGTTTGTTTTGGGATGTCAATGTGTAGTGTAGCGTATGTTTGTGGGATTCCTGTATTATGTGTCATAGATCACAGATGTGTATAGTTGTCAGAGGCATTTGTGCTTGAAGCAATCTAGCCACAGAGATGGCGCCAAATACAGCCAAAGTGCAATCACCTGGCTGAGCCAGTTTGAGCCAATGGGGAAATCATTAATGATTTTTCGCGAAAGATCCGCGAAAGTTTCACGAATGTGCCGATAAAGTTCTGCCTACCAAACTTGACCCCACCCCCATACCCCAACGACCTGGAATAGGGATGTGGGGCTGCTGGTCTGTCAGCTTTGGATGACGGCTGTATCAAAGTGGTGCAGGATTTCTTCTTCCGCCCACCGTATCTCTATATATAAATATACATGACTCTCTGACTCACCCAAAACATGTTAAGTAACCAACCTCTCTTGAGGAACATGCTTCGCGATGAGGTCGCGAAAGATCCGCGAAAGATATCTGCTTTTTCGCGATGAATGGCCATTCCAGGATGAAAGAATATTGATCAAACATCATATGTTGTAGACAAGAAGGTACAGCGGAACATTATATGGCATATTCATACCCAAAGATGCGCCACCGGCATGACAGGTGAGCGCGGCGCTGCGGCAAAGAAGCAGTGTGTTGCGCGAGCCGAAGAGGCCCGGCTCTCATGCTGAGCGTTCAGCTGTGCGCAAGGGTACGGATTGAAATAGGACAGAACAAACTACACAGTGCACATTCTGAGAACAGTTAGCACAGCAACGACGCCACGACATGTGTCATGAGGGAACTTTACGAAATCTTCATGGCTGCAGGTCGCTGAGAAGCTTCCTCCAGGCGGATTACGCCGAAGCGCTCCGCGCCGTTTTTTTCGAATCATGTTTGATTGTCGTGATGCGAGACACTTCGGCTATTAGTGAATGAGTGACACAAACGCATTAGCCGTTGACAAGTTGACACATTGACAAGTGATCTACCAATCACAGATCATCGCCAGGTCGGTTTGCCTATAGGCTGCATTAGGTTTTCCTTGATCCGATTGAATGCGGAAAGCTTGGCACAGGAGCTGCGAAAGGTCTGCAAAATGCAGCACCTTCAGGTGAGGAGTGGGGAGACGGTCGATGACAGGGCCACTACCCATATCAAGAGGTGTTTTCCTCACATAAACACTAAAATCAATTTACTGCTTAGTTCCTTACTTTTCACATACCATGGCATGGCTTCTTCAGTTGTCTCCTGGAAACGAATGGGAAAGTTTCTCGGATCGACTGTCTTTTCGTGGCTCAGGCCCGGAAGGCATTGATCCAATAACCATGGAGCGGCTTCTGTGGGGATCTGAAGTGAAACATAGAGACTGACAGTGAAGCACTTCAAGAAACATACCCTGTGAACTTTAATCCAATTTGATTCTCAGAGATTAGATTTTGGTCGAGGGCAGTCGGTGAGTTGTAATACAGCGTCCATCCAGATGGTCCCCCCTTAATTTCTATGATAGACTTCCATGCAGATGGTCGCCCCTTGAACCAAAAGCAATGTTTCGGTGGATTGTGAACGTCCGCTTTCGATCTTCCCGGTCGGATGGATATGTGGTCGTCACTGAGGAGCCAGGTGCAAAAAGGTGGTCCTTCGGTACAAAACGAAGCGCTCGTCGCAGTGACAGGCCACTGGAACGGCGTAGAGTTATGAAGACACAGATGTAATGATATTTGAGATGTATAGAAGGTATCAGACTTTTCTTTTTTCACATGTTCTCCAGAGAGCTGGTTGAAAGGTTTTGATCAGAATCCTTTTGATGAAGGACTTCTTTTGACAGACTTAGAAGTGCATTGTTTGTTTTGTGTTTTTAACCATCGGATGTTTGCGATGTCCCAGGCCTTCCGCCACAGCATGCGGCAAAGCTCTTGGAGTTTGCCCTTGAGAAGTCCAAGGACACCCGCTTCGTCGAATCGGGGATCTGGCGAGGTGGAGGTGAAGAGTCGAAGCAGAACAGTAAGCTTAGATAAAGGATCTTAGCCAAGTATCATTGTCCTGCGAAGGTCTGCGGAGTGTGAAGAAGAGTAAACACAACAAAAGCAAACAAACTCTTCAAAAGCCATGCAAACTGTCAAAGCATCAACAATATACGTGCTATTCATGCTTATTCTTTTTTGTAAGTCATGGTATGTGGTTGCCCCATCCAGGAGCTACGGGACCCGTCGATGTATATGGTGTCCACGGTGGCAAGGCCAGTGCGTCGTTGGGGAGACAATGCTTTCGTGACCCGTCGGATTGTATTCCGGGTGCAGAAAGGTGAGTCGGGCGACGAAATCCATACTCCGGTGGTGTAGGACGCCGCTCCAAAGAGAAACTAGAACTATGGTGCCGAGCGAACATAGAAACATATGATTTGTTGAGCTTACGAAAGCTGATGCTTCAACAAAAACGTACATAGGTTTGTGCTCTGGCTTGTGTTTTGCGCTTGTTAGTTTCACAATCCATGTGGAGCAGAGTCTGATTCTAGCCACCAAAAAGAACATGTATTGCTTTGCAAGAGTGGCTCTTTCTTTACAGTTTACCTGCGTAGACCATTTACATCCGCACCACCTGGCAGGGGCTTCAAGCCCAGATGGCACGCCAGGGTCTCAGATTTGGCAGAATTGCGGGCAAGTTACGGAGTTGCAGGAACTTTTGTTTAACGCTCAAATCAACATATTTCTGGCGGCCCGACATGGACAAACAATTCAATCAATGCGCCCTGGGCGTTTCAGAGTTGCACGCTGAGGAAATGGTGGAGGCCTCTGTCCCTTCCAAAGGATGGTTCGACGCGTTGCAAAGACGCAAGGATGATTGGCATGCGAAAATGACGGAGACATTCTTTTAACTCTTTCAACCGTATGATCACGTGGCTTTTGGGAGCCTCATTTGTTTTGGCACGAAGCCACTCATGAATTGAATTCACCAAACACTATGTTCATATCTGCGCGGGAATCAATCCGGTTGATGGTTATCGAAAAGATTTTTCAATCGGTACCTTTGTGAGGAAAAGGCGTACAACTTGAGCTGGCGCAAGATCGAAAGCCGCAGCCTGGCTTGAACGCAAAAGCGGCCGTACTCTTTTGAAAAGCGTAACAAGCTTTTGAACGTCATGCCAACCGTTCTAGGCTTCGGGAACCATCAGCCATCAGCGCTTGTATCCAAGGCACAAAGCCAGGAGTGTTCTACTGGGAGAATTTTCACACAGGCCAGAGATCAGTGGACGACGCTTTGGCTGATTCATTAGTTGCAACGCATGCTTCCCAATATACATGTGCAATAATTGAACAATGAAAAACAATGAGAAACCGATCTAAGGACCCGCGACGTCCGGTTTCTCCTTCCCCTGTGCGTGGTGGCATGGGCAAATGAGACCTGTGCGCGCTAGTGAGAAATGTGCCGGTGCTTTTCATCCGCAACGAAATGTTACCAAAAGGTCCCTGCCACATACATATATACTACTAGGGGCTCCTGGCCTGCTAGGGGCTCCTGGCCATACTACTAGGAGCAAGGACGCTACCAGGAGCTGAGAGTTCTACAGCTGAGAGTTCTGTCTGTCTAGGCCAAGCACCTGCCGAGCAGGTACTTTAGACCGCGGCTGCAGTATTCTTGTAGGCAACAGGCTGGACCTGGCCACCCTCGATTGGTTAGCATTACTCACGAGGTGGTAGTCAATCTGATTTAGTCCTGGTCATCCCAATTGTTTCTTGGGACTCTGTTGGTTGTTTCGGTAGAATATGCCATCATTAGCTGTGGTTGGTTGGTCCTCAGTTGGCCATGCTCACAGGGTTGGTGGGCCGATGCTGGGACGTTCGCCCGGCCTGCTTGTGATGCACACCTGGGCTTTGTGGGTGATTTGTTCCGGAAGATGTGCCTTTTGGGCGTTCCCTCACTGCAAATGGCTTAACGGACAGAACCTAGCCAACCGAAGTGCAAGTCAAACATGGATGACTCTGTATAAATTCACTATACTGGTGTGTTGTTCAATGATGTTCTATGTGCTTCATGCTAATTTTTTTTTCTCTCTCTCTCTCTCCCTCTCTCTGTGTCAAATTGAGAAGGCTTGGAAGGTCTTCCGAGCCACCCTTGGGTGCTAGGTTTGTCTTGGCGTGAGATTGCCGGTGTTCCTGCACCGAGTGAGCCCACAGAAAGCAAGGCTGGTTGGGAGCTCAAGAAATCTAGCTGCTATGCCATGCTTTGGGTAAGTTAAGTTTCCCTTAAAAGTTTAGTAACCAAATCATTAGGGCGGCGGGGGGAGCTTCCTTGAAGAAGCGTGAGCTATCCTGCATCCTAAGTAGTAGCTACTTAATCTACTAGCGATCCCTTAGCTTCTACAAGCTAAGCTTCTACTAGGTGCATTTCGTTGATGTCGATCGTGGAGCATCCATCAGAGTTAGAGTTAGAAGCTCTCTTTCAAGAAGCATCCAATGCTTCCACAGCAATTGGCAACTTCTTCCGCCACGCAGGCCAGTAGGAAAGAACGATTCCAGCCAAGCTCGAGGTGCAGATGCGGCGACGGCCCCGCAGGGACTACGAGCGGGAACAGGCACATACACCAATGCATGTGGATCGCCGCTCTCTGTCAGTGATATGGACAAATCCTGAACTCGACATTCATGTTGTGACGAAAATCATTTACAATGGCTTTTGCAGTGGGCATGTAGTGATGAGGGTTGTTCCCCTTGGAATATACAGCATCGTATGCATCATCTAAGGTCATAATTGCTTAGTGATACTTGGCTTAAGCTGGTGCATTTCCATCCAGCTCACAAGCCTTAGGCCTTGTCCGTTTGTACTTTAGGGGAACTTTCTGGATTAAAGCTTTAAGCCAACATGCGCAGGATGTTCTAGAACGCGCAGCCACACAAGCCAAGATGTGAACCCCTATGTGTATGTATAGATACTGCAACAAGTGAACTCCAGATAGTCGAGCACAGCGTGGCAAGGCGTCTATGCTTGCGAAGCGTCATCGGCAGAATGGAGGCAAACACTTCTGAGCCTCAACTGGACCCTCCTCAAAAGACATGAGAGTGTCAAAGAGCCACTTTTGAGCAACCATTTGCGCAAGGGCATTTGTGAAGGATCAGTTCCCATGGCTTTCGTCACATGTATATCGACACAAGCTGTGCAGGGGGTCAGTCTCAAGAGGAGGAGACACAGGAGGGATTGGAGAGAAGGGTGCCAAATGTTGGGTCACGGTCATGGGATGACAGTACAGTGTGTGTGTGTATCTATAATATCTGTATACGTATATATTTCGAAAGCCGGCCATTAGGTGAAGTTGGTGCAGGGGGTAAACACGGGCCGACAAGATTTAGCGCTATGACGGCCTTTATGATGCCAGTGATGCCACAACTGTTGATAATCAAATTTTTATATCATCAACTGGGCACCACGGCATCTTTTGCATAATCAACTGGTCATGACGGCATCTTGTGGAGCGCTTTGTCAAATTTGTCGGCTCCAGTCTGAAAACATATGTATTATGATTTGCTGTGCAGTATGTTGCCTGTAGCTCGGCGAGACAAACCACACGTGAAGTCAAGCCACGCGTGAAAGACAGATAGCGTCACTTGCAGAGATCCAGATGCAGAGAGTTGAAGAAAGCCCTTCACTCTGGGCTGGTGCCCTTCGGCCCTTCGGCGTTGTGTATGAGCGCCGTCTCGGGGCACAAGAGGCCTGGCATCAAGTTCCCGACATTCAGGAGCAGCGTTTGTTGGTGCCCCTTTTGCGCTTCGTTTGAAGGCTGTCTCAGGGCACAAAGGGCGCCTCCGAAAAGTTCTGGCGATAAGACCTTTGAAAAAGCAGAATCTCGCGAGCGAAGTGTCTATTATCAGGGGGTCTGTGCGGGAGTGTTGGAGGCTCCCACATTGCTTGTTGGAGCGTCTTGAGTCATGCGCGTTGCTCTCAGCGCTTGCGAGGGGCGGCTTTCGCACCTCATGTATTAGAAGGTTATATGTGCAAGACTTGTTACGCTAGTTGTTGCACTTCGTTTTTTGGCTTCAAGCTGCACGCCCCACAGGAAACTGAAAGTGCAGCTTTGTTCCTACCAGGAGAGCCCTTGGATGAGCTCCTTGCGAGGCAAAGTCCGGTGTGGTGCAGAGCCACTGGCAGCTCTCCAACGAAACATGTGGCTCAGGACATGCACGCGGAATTGCCAGAGTTACCAAATGCATATTTGTTCCCACGCAATCTTAAACATGAATTTGAAAAAATCTGCTCTTGGTGACTGCGCCATAAACCAAACGTGTTGGCATGCTTCTGATGTCAGGGGCTCTAACCTTCGTCCTCGTGTACATACTGGCAAGATGCGCCGTTCGTGTCGTCTCCTCAGGGGCTCTGTTGCAATAGAGGAAATCAAATCCGGGAGGCCATCCCCAACCTACACGAGCTGGCCCCTTTTCGATCAACTGTGGCAACGATGGAAGTCGTGAAGGGCAGTATTCACATTTTCAAGTTCTAAAAATCAATAGGAAGTCTTGGAAGATGGCACTGATAGGGATCATTCAGTCAAGTCAGGTGTCAGGTGCCTTGTTTAAAGGACCTTTGGAAAAATACTTAATGTTTTTTTCCGGCCCAGATCGCTGTGGCCTTGACTCCAAGTGAGCCGTGACTCACAGTGTGCAGCGCAAAAAGGAACCACAAGCACTCACCTGTGCACGTGAGAAACCCAGATGATCAGAATGTTTTTCTGGGAGAGGTTGTTATTTGTCAAGAGAATAGGTTCCAGCAGCAATATTGAGCAAACGCGGCGTCAAAGTACTATTTCAAAATGCGCAATTTTGCAGGTTTGCTTGCGCACGCATCAGAAGTTCAGTTTGTTTTTGTTTATTTATTCATCTTGGCTAAGAAAGGCACCTGAAGATCATAGAATATCACAAACTACCAAAGTGCACTGTCTCATCCTGAGGACACCCTTTTTCATGAAAGCCAGAACAGCTTGAATGTTCCGTAACTTGCTTTGGCTCCAAGTATGGCCTTCATTATGAGGATATCTCCCCAACGAGGAATGCCATCTATGCACCCTCTCTAGCTGCTGTGGAAGGTCACTAGGACATATTTTGAACAGATGGCTTCGATGCTGCCATCTACATTTGCCAGCCAAGAATTGCATGAGATGTTGCACAAATGAGATGCCTCACTCGCCTGCAATGCGCAGTGTGCTGCCACCTTTGCCGAGTTTGGTGAAGGACAGACAAAAACCCGTCCCAATGTGTGAATCCCAGCGCTTGACGGTTCGAGCCAGGGTTCACAATACCTTGACCCTGGTGCACGCTTGTTGAGTGACTGCTGCCAAAGACCATCACCTAAACCAGCACCAAAAAACATCAATGGTGTCAACTGTGTAAACCCTTTTGATCCATAAACCTTGACAGGGTTTTTGTTGGTGTGAGTGAGGAGGGTAGAACTTGGCGCGCAGAACTTGGAACTCCTCCAAGAATTCTTGTCGCACCTACAAGGTGTTCTATATCATGTTTGCAGACTGTGTCCAACGCCGATGCCACTGCACTGCCCGGTTTGCAGGAGGGTCCCCAGGTGCGCCGTGCCGCGCTTCTGGCACGTGTGACCGCACGGAGCTCTGCACTGGCGGGGCTCGATGACCTGGATCGGAAGAAGCGGGAGGCGCCTGCAGGGCGCGAGAGGACCTGGCGCGGAAAGGCGTTGTATTTGTTGTCTTTTTGGTTTGGACCGTTTCCTGAGGTTGCCCTAGCTGCTGTGACTGCTAATGGTATCGCGTTGCAGTGGGCACCTGACCCTTGGCCAAAGTATGGAAATCGTGTTTGGCAGTGGATTTGGGGGTATTGCAGCGTGCCAGTCTGTTTCATTCGTTGCATGAAATTAATACGTTCCCAAATCAACAGGCAGCGGAGGTAGGTGGCAGATAAAGATCATGGCCCAGGAGGAGAAAATTCTAAAGTCCACCAGCTGGACAATATGATGCAGTTAATTCAGTTTTAGAAGCGGTTGTCGTCTGAGTGACTTCAATTTCGGGCTTTAAGGAGCGCTTCAAGAATGACAAGGAAGTGGTCCTTGCAGCTGTGGCAAATTCCGGTCAAGCATTAAAGTATGTGGGGAAGGCGGCCCGTTGGCAGTGATCAGTTGTCAGCATTGTAGCTGTAGCTGATTTCCAGTCTATTGTGCACTACAGGGCCGTCAAATTGACGCTAGTGAACGAGACTGAGGTTAACATTGAAAAAGACAATTTTCAAGGAAGCCAAGTTTGAAGCTTTTCGCCTTATGGTACCATTTCCATCCCTGAACAGCCTTGCGCCTTGCGACGGGGCCTGGTTCCATTTCTGACGGAGGCACTCCAATCCGATCGCGACGTGGTGTCTGCAGCGATTCAACAAAACGGATTGGCACTCCACTTTGCATCGCCAAGGATGCGGTGTGACAAGGCACACGGAAGCGGGGCGGCAGGGCTTCTGTTGGGAAGCATGAAGGCCAGGAGTATCGAAGCGTGCAGCTCCTTTTTTCTTAAGGAGCTGATAGCTACGATGGAAAGGAGGCAATGATCCATCAATCCTGGTGGCCAAGGTTATGATTAAAGTATCTTCCAAATGATGAACCCTCCCAGAGACATGCCCGGAAGTGGAGAATGCCCCGTGGACGGTCATCACTTTCCTGTAGAGGCTGACGTTGTTCCAGTGTATCCCTCCCAACACTGACACGGCTCAAGCACGATACTCCCTCAGAGTTTCAATTGGTGAACGAACAATGCAAGTAGCAATGGTTAGTTGAAGGCAACGTGCCAAGAAACCAAGAAGAAATGCAATCCCCCAAAGATATTGCTTTCTTCCAAGACTTCTAGTGAACAGACCACGCTGGACCATCCATCAGTGGACAATGATATTCCTGAAATCAAGTCTTGTTTAGAGGTCTAAAGTCGATGTCAGGAGCTTGTGTTGGAAGCCTGTGAGCGTGATGGCTCAGCGCTCCTTTTCGCTGCGGACGGGGTTCTGTTGCAGCATAGGTCAGAGAATGAAGTCTTGAAGTGTGAATTCAAGAGACGATTTTGATGGGATTGCAGTTTGGACTGACATTGAAGCCCCAAAACGGCCAAGTGATTTCAATGCAAGCTACTGTTCACCATGCCTCTAAGAGGGGCGCAGAATGAGGCCATTCACCCCTTCGGTGGGTGCAGGAGCGGTTGCGAGAAGATGCCGATTGCCAAGACACAGCGGCCATGGCCACACACAGTGTCCAAGGATCTGACGCTCGGCTGAAACAATGCAGAACGGGAACAGTCTGCCCCTGCAACACATTGAGAGTGTGGTTGATTTGCACCATTTTAGGCATCATCCACTGCGAACTCCTGCCCACTCACTAAGGCTAACTCCTCGATCCACAGTGCAAGCAGCGCAAGGAGACCATGCATCTCAAAGATGCAATTTGATTTGTATGGGAGCAGCGTGCTTCATTCATTTTGTAGCTGGTTTATCCAGCTTTCATGTCAGAAACCGCATCATCCGCACGGGAATGGCCTTCTGTGGCCTAGGAGTCGCTTTGTGGCCTCAACCCGTGATGGGAGATGGCCATCTTTGAGACATTGGAGCCACCAGCCCTTTTTGGCGCCTGAGCGAAAGTGTAAGCCGCCCCAACTATGATATGATGCAAGTAATGCTATGGTGCAAAAGTAGCATTCCAGGCATTTTATTGCTCTGACAATCTGCAGTCAATGATCAGCTGGAACGATTTTGATGGTGGCATCCGGTTGGCAGAACAACAAAGTTGGAATAGTAGGTGCATGCTCGGAGGCACTCGTTGCAAATAGTGCAATCAGGCAAATGTCTGGCGCGTTTCAATCTTCTTGGGGAGGGGCCCAGCTTGTTTGAGGAAATGTATCCCTTTTTGAAGCTACTAGTAGCAAAGGGCATCGCTACTAGGAGCAAGGACGCTACTAGGGGCTCCTGGCCGTAGTACTAGGAGCATTCTTGCTACTGGTTCACCTATCATTTTGGTCTCCAAGGCTGCCAGCACGTCACGGACTGTGGGGGAGTCGGAGAAGAGGCGCACCCAGCGGAGCAAGAGCTTTTGGAAAGGACAGCATGTCGAGGCGGCGAAGTCATTCTTTAGGCGTACTAGCGAAACTTGGTTGGACGTTCCATCCGTCAGCCCATACTAGGACTCGGCTTGAAGTTTTTCAACTTCGTGAGAGTACAGTTCGAAGGGGTTACCGTTTTGGCTCAGAAAAGGCATCCCATACATTCCCAAATACCAAGATTGGTTGTGGAAGGGAGTCTCCTGCGTGTTGTTTTGTGTTGTTTATTCTAAAACCACACCAGACCCATTCTCTTGAACATGGAAGACAGGACAATCCTTTCAAGTGACACAATGAGCTCGCCTGTACACAGACGGATTCGCTGGAACGTGACTTTTGTTCATAAACGGCCATGCTGTCCATGGGTGTTGGGAAAAGGTTTGTGACAGGATGAAGTTCCAAAGCAGTTAGAGCTTCAAGTTGACTGTTTTCCCAACACGCTGGCAGTTTCACACGTTAAGGGGGCCAAAGAACGCTCCACCGCTCTTGATTTCGTTTAAATCGGAGCAGCGCAAAACAGTTTGCTTTTGGGGCAAACATGTTCCTGTTTACCACGCCTTCCCTGAAGCCCACCATCAACAAGCTGCAGGTCTTCGACCAAGGGTATGCTTTGAAAGACGAGGATTTCTCCACCGGATCTGAAAGGACCGAAAGCAAGACCAAGGGAGTGGAGCAAGACCAAGCGTGGCCGGTTGGTGAGTGTAGATGAGGCAGTCACAGTGACACAGTCGTCACAGTTTCGAACCGTCCGATGAAGCATCCCGTGCGGAGCCTTTCGGTTCCGAACAACGGTATGACACTATGACACTGAAGAAGAAACTTTTGAGTCATCAGCGCAGCCAGAAGCACATGTTTCGGCATAGTGCTGAGCATGTAGATGTTTCCTGGAAGCTTCCGATCATGTGGGATGCGTTGCCATGCGTAGCCATGCGTAGCCATGCGTAGCCATGCGTAGCCATGCGTAGCCGGGTGCCTAGGCAGTTCTGTGGTGACACATCTGCCCAGTCTACTTGGCACAGCAAGCCACTTGTGGATCTGAAAGATGCGCAGCGTGTTCCTGTTAATGATGTTAATGACATTTAATGAGCTGATCCACAGCCACTTCAATCTCCACCTTCCGCCAATCCGCACAAAAGGATCACTCAGTGTTTGGGGTGATGGTCGAATCATCAACTGGATCTCCTCTATGTTTGGATGTTCTTGGAACCTACGGACTGTGCACAATTCACTCAGGGTTCGCTTGGCTGCTGGCACTGGTGGTGAGAGCAGGGACCCCAAGCAATGATCATCCCGTAAGGATCGACAGCGAAGCTGCAAAGAGGCTATCTGCCAGCAGTCAGATGCTGTTGGACGGATGAACTGTATCCTTCCCATAGCTATCCTTTGCATTCTTTCCAATGCATCGTTTCCCGCGTTGAGGCTCAAGATGATGACTTCCAATGGTTCCGCTGCGATGCTTGCTCGGCCTCTTGGAGGAAAAGCCAATCTTTTTCATCGTTCATGCACAAGGACGGAACTCATTTGAGGCCTCGTTCTTCAAAATCAACAGGACCTGGGGAGTTGGTACTGTGAGTCCCAATGGATGTCCTACTTCTTGAAAAGGCCAACTTGCGAAGGCAGTGTACAGGTTTTCCACACTGGGAGACATGTTCAACCTAAATTGATGACATTGAAATTTGGGTGTTTGTAGAATTTTGTAATTTTCGGAAGCATGGAGAGGACCTTGGTCGAGAAGCAGTTGCTCCGTCGGGCCAGTGTGGCCAGCTATGAGTTCTTGGTATCTTGCCTATAGAATTTCGTCATAGCTGCCAGCTGCTATGCTGTTTGTGCAATGATCTCCTAACAAACGCACAGCAAAGTACATGAATGAGATGTTTCTGCGTGCCAGAGGCAGGTATGTCGGTTTTGCCAAGCATGCTAGCTTTCTTTTGCTTAGCACAAGAGACAGCACTAAAGCCAAGGAGATCGTTGACGAGGCGGGTTGTGGGGGCCAACGTGCACAGAAACTTCACTGGCGGTGTTGACAGTGTTCCCTGAAACATTCATTTGTGCAAGAAGTGAGATGCTGCAATGCCAATTCAATCGCTTCAGACTGCTGGACATTGGAACATGGTATGCACAATCTCTTTGTGTTCTAGATGTCGATGACCGAGAGGTGGCACTTGACAAGACACTGGAGCCTGGACAGGTATGCGATACTATGTTCACCAAAGAAGAGTGACTCGTCGAGCTAAGTGAACCGGAGAAAACTTCTGCCTTGAAATAGTGAAGTAGTGAAAGCTAGTAGGTTGGAGGCCATCGCTCTTAGGTTGCTCTTTCAGAGTCCAACTCAGGTATGGCGTGAAGCAGCATGAGGCGCGGCTGAAATCTACTACTGAACGGTAAGCTTTGCTGCCGCTAGCACGTTGGAGATGGAAGAATGGCAAGAACCCTGGATTTGCCAATGCCAAAGCACACAGTCAAATTTTCCTGAGATCTTCGCTTGGCAGCCAACAAGCTTGTCGTCTTTTCAGCACCGGCTATGTGCCTTCCATATCCGTTGCTTTCGGATACGCCAGGGTAAGAAGTATCTCTTCGGCCCTGGTGTGAGCGATCACATCCCAGGGCAGGGCTTCGGGCAGATGGGCATGGGAGTACCTTGGACGAGACGGTCGACCGGTGGAGAGATGGGATTCGACAGAGGCTGCCGTGGCACTTTGAAGACATGGTGGCACGTAATCAGTTCCTTTCTTTTTTTGTGAGGAATGTCCTGTAATATACAAGTGCACGACTCACTTCCTGAGCTAAAAGTTTCTACATTCGCGGGTGGCACACTTCTTAGGATTATGACAAGCGCCTAGCATCCTACTGCAAGATGTTTGTCGAGGAGTTCGGGGAGGACGGACCCAGTTCTTAACGGAATTTGTCCATCAGCACCACTTGTGCTTGTTTGTACCAGTTGTTCAAGCTATTTGGATGTACCATGATGCGCACACGAAACTTCCAGGAGGAGCTGCAGAAGCTCTTCTGGGAAGAGAGGCCAGGAGATTGAACATGGCTATGGTGGCACTGCATGCCGCCGTTCGATGACCCATACCACTGACCCATACCGAACGACCAATGACATGGCTTTCCCCATAGAAACGGCCACCTCGGGCGAACATATTTTTGCATCAGTAATGACTACCTTAGGATTGCTGTGGCCATATATATATATAATCATATAATATATATATATACATATGCTTACCCCCGCCATGATCTACCTTTTCCTGCTTTTCAGCTCTTCTACCTTTTTCTGCATTCCAGCTCTTCCGCTTTTCATACTTCTCAGCTCTTCGACCTTTTCCTGCTTGTCAGCTGCTTTGCTGTACCGGGCTACCCCTGTGTGGAATAGATTTTTGCAATACATTGACAAGATTTAAGAAGGATGTTAAAAAGAAATCAACAAAAGAGCTAAAAGCGAAATCAAAGGAGTTCCAAAGGATTCAAGAGGATATCAATAAATTAACAACATGTAATTTAATATGACAATCAATGGAATCAACAAGGAGTTTTAAAAGGGAACTCACACATAAAGATAAAGAAACATGAAACGCGTAGATGCGATTGTTTTATTAAAACCAAACAGGGTAGAAATTATTGTAGGGGGTGAAGTTATACTATTTGAGATCTCTATATAGTGTAATGAGCTAACCGCTCATGGAATAGATGTTTGTAGTAGTTTGATATAACTTAATAAAGGGACTAAACATGAGGTAATCAACAAACATCAACATGATTTCAACAAAATTGAAAGAGTTGAATAGATATATATTAAATAAAAAGCCACAAGGAGTTTTCAAGAAGAGAATTCACAAATAAAAATAACGCTAAATTACAAGCATAGACATCATTGCAGGGAAGTATTGTTTCCAGACATCATACCAGAGCAGCAAAGTCAAACAATATTTGAGAGGGTCAAATCATTGTTTTGTAACTTGATAAGATACGCACTCCCGAAAAGTAACATGGATCCGGATCGAATGTGACCCCGAAAGACTGTGTTTCTCTACAAACCAGTGGTTTTCAGGGTCCATGTTAGTTTTCCATTATAAGAATTTTATTAAAGAACTTTAAACTAATCAAGAGGAAAGGAATTTAATAGGTAATCAATAGAAACCAAAAAGGACATTAAGAAAAGGAATTCACAAATAAAGCTAAAAAAAGATGAAAAGCGTAGACGTCATTGCGGGAGATCTTATTTTTGAAGGCACACAGGGCAGACACTGTTGTAGGGGGTTAAATTATTTAAGGGCTGCCGCCCCTGCCGCCGACCCCGGGACTCAACTGCAGCTTGCACTCGCCAAAAAGCTATGGTTCAGGTGACTACGACAGAAATTCCGAGACCGGTTCAGGGGCCCCTGCAGAATCCCTGTACCAGCATGTATAGTTCTTTGCGCATTGGTGCTACCCAGTTGGATCCTCATCCAATGGGTTTTAGTGGGTCTACATGCCACACTGTAGATCTTAGCGGCAGATCAAAATAGAGTTTTCAACAAAAGGGACTGAAACAGAAGCAAGTGTTTCAAGCGAGTCGCTGAATGCATCCGCTTCTGCACATTGTCCTTGCTCCTTGCCCTCTTGGCTGACTTCTTTTTTGCCTGGGCCTTTCCTTTTGGTTCCTGGGCCCTCTTCTTTGGCTGGTTGACCTTTGCCTTTGCCTTAGCTTTTGGTTTGCTTTTTGGCCTTGACTTTGCTTTTGCAGTAGGCAAAGAACTCCTGCCAGCTTCAGACTGCTCTTCGCGTTCGCTTGGGCCAGCCTGGGAAATCATAGGCAGAGAAACTGTTTGGAGTATGGGTGGAATGCACAGTGTTTGCAAGCAAGCCAGCTCAGCTTAGAGGCATCCCGAGGCAAAGCTGGATCATTGGGTGAAGCATCAGGCAATAGTGTGGGCTCACTGACAAGGTCCTCACAAAAAAATAAAAAACAAAGCTGGACTGTTTTGAGTGTGTTTTGCTGAACCTTAATGAATCTGCAAATAAGAACTGGATTGGCATTGGATAGTAGATGCACAATGATGTGCTGCCTCCGATGGAACTTCGTGTTCAAGGTCGCCAGCATCCAATGCGTCCAATGTCCCATCACCCTCAGCAATAGATGTAGTTTTTGAATCATCACCACATGGTTCATTGCTCCCATCGTTTGGCAAAGATGCGCTCATAGTTACATCATCCACTTCCTAGGATGCACTAAGCAAAAGCAATCAAAAACACACTCTTCAGACTTTAACTTTTTGATCACACCCTGCCTCATCCAAGTGAAGGGACAAATCTTCATGAGCTTCCAACCTGGATAAGGCCTTAGCATAGACTTGGGGGTGCACATCCCCTAGAAAAAACTAGTTTGTTTCTATTTGTCTCGGTCATCTTGGCCCCGGACACCTGGTCCCGCCACAGCTTTTCCCAATCTAATTCTGGTCCAAAACCAGCCTCCCATGGTTGCACTTTGGGTGCCAAACGCTGCCTCTGAATCCCTAGACAAAAAAAGTTTGTTTCCCTTTGTCTCGGTCATCTTCGCCCCGAACATCCAAAACGAGCCTCCCATGGTCGCACCTCCCATGGTTGCACTTTGGGTGCCAAACGCTGCCTCTGAATCCCT